ACTGGTTGTTGTTGGGTTAGGGGTGGGGATATGAGGGAAGTGAGGGGGAAGGAAGGGAAAGTAGCCCAGAGCAAGAGTTCCGTGAGGACTACATTCAGTTGGAGGTGTGGTGTGAAAATCTGTGATGGCCAATGGGCAGCTGGAAAGGCAGGTTTGACGGGGAAAGGCCAGGGCTTGAGCAAAGATGTGGGAATCACTGTGTATAGGGATGTGTGATGGAGTTGTGTGGGGTGGTTCAACTAGCCATGTGAAGCTGTTATTTTGAGAGGCCTATTTTGAAGTCGTAAAATAAGCAAATTGACAGAATTTGCTGGAAAGAGAAATAAATGTGTAGGTTGGTGTTAGAACCTCTCTGCCCTACTACCGTTTCATTCATTAGGCAGTAAAAAAACAAAAAAACACACACACCAGACTCAAAGTGGCACAGGTAATAACAAGAATGTACTGGCTCATATGAATAGCAAGTCCAGCAATAGGGCCAGCTTCAGGGAAGGCTAACCCAGCAAGTTCGTATCACTAGGGACCCAGCTCTGGTTGTGTCATCATGAGGCTGGCTCTCCATGTGGTCACTGCAACACTGCTAACAGCCATTGGATATATAAGCTCTGCACTTGGAGAACAAACACCTCGTCACCAGTCACAAGATCAAAGTCCTGAGCCTTGTGATTAGACCAGCCCATCATGAGCTTAATGGAAATCAATCACAGGTTAAGGGGAATGGAAATATGCCACATAAAAAGCCCTCCCCAAGAGCTGAAGAGGATGTCAGGCATCCCTCCCCCAAATCCCAAGGCAGGCACACAGTGGGGAAGGTGGGAATGATGCTGCCGAAACAACCAGTCAACAATGTTCAATATGACAATCCTAACTACTCGAATAGTAGTTTTAAGTATGAAGTGCACTTGGAAAATGTTCCATCCTGATGCATGAATGGTATCAATTCATGGTGGTGTTCATCTCCTGCAACCATTTCAGTTGCTGTTCTGGGAAAGAAGTTCAGAGACCTACTCATGTGCCTCTCACCTGGAGAAAGAAGTTTTAATAAAAGCCACAGAACCGGTATTTGTATGGATAGAAATTTATCCCCATAAGATTTGGTTATAAATATGTTCATCATAGGGTCCTTTACAATAGTGAAAAAATGCAAACAACTTAGATGCTCAACCATAGGAGACTGATTTTCTTTAAATACAGTACATGCATACAGAACATGTTTATGAAAACAGAGCATCACAGAATAGTATGTATTTACAATTCCATTTTTGGGGGAGAAACTTGAGTGCCTGCCTATATAGCTATTTATACAAGAATCTGTCCCTGGAAGAACATACACAGAAGCTGTGACTGATTATTTCTGGGGGGCAGGATTAGAGTTGCTTTTCATTTTCTTCGACTTACCTGGCCCATGTCTTATAAAGTTAACAGGCAGGAACCTTTGTTTCCTCTGTCCTCTAAGCATGTAGAATGTTTAGGCTGGGTATGCTAGTCTCTCCCATTCCTCACCTCCACATTTGCAGATGGAGAAACTGGCCCATCTATTCAGGCTTAGTTTCTTAGAGACCACTGGATGTTATACTTCTAGTCTGCAGGGCTATGAAGCAACTAAACAGCGTGAGAATCTTGACTGTCCCGCTAATGGGATAAAACTGACCTCAGAGATCTGCTTGCTCAGTTTTGGTGCTTTTTCCTCAGTCTTGCTGAGTTAACACTCATACTAAATCACCTAAAATCAAATAGTAGAGATCTTATCTTCACTTTATTGATTGCAGTAACCTTAGCTGACCCTCAAGTAATTTAACCCATGTCCTAATGTTCCAATTAAAATTGTTTCAAATAAGTAAAATTGGATTTTCCTTTGCATTTTACACAGGCTTTCCTTACCTACGCAGCTCTGAGCACATTAGCTTCTTACTCATGTAGCAGTTAGGGTTCTGAGGCCTAAAGCGGTACATTAAATGGCATTTCTACTCACTCAGTGTGTATGTATGAGCAGCTACTACTTGAACGGTGAAGAGGGTGTTAGCCTGGCCACGTGCTTCCCAAGGCTGTGGGGAAGACTGGAGATCACACGTGCTGCAGTCGCTGTCTGACAGCACCGTGTACACGAACAGCTCTGGGAGCCAGTGAGCACAGAGGCGTCCACAGGCCCCTGCCATCCATGAGCTGATCTGTACAAGGAAAACAAGTACAAACAGCCATTCTAACACAGGGATGAGTAAGCACCTCAAAAGAAGTATCAATGAAAAGACCCAGAAGCACACGTTTTTATTTCACCAGCAGGAAATGTACTATTTCACTAGAGATACCAACAAGGACACTGTGAAGGAGGTGGCATCAGATAGGACCTTCCTGCAGGCTGTGATTTTATATTTAAAAATTAGTCAAACTTCTCTCAGATTTTTGGTATTTTATAGATTACTTTGAAGGGGCCAGACATCAACTTAAGTGTTTTTCTTAAAATAACCTTGAAAACAGAATTATTTTAAGTTTAAAGACTTCCAGATAAGGCTGTCAATCTTGCTCACACAGCACATCCCAACATTTAAACGCTCAGTGTTAGGATAGTCCTCCTGGAATTTAGAGACTCAATTCGTCCCAATATTGTTTAGGTCTGTTTTCCTTTTTCAGGTCTTTATAAGAAAAAAGAGCAAGTTCTTTCTGTATCTTAGGCATGCCTACTGTTATGGACTGAATTGTGCTCCCAGAAATTCCTATGTTGAAGCCCTAACCCCCAGTACCTCAGAATGGGACTGTATCTGGAGACAGGGCCTTTAAAAAGGAGATCAAGGTAAAATCAAGTAAGGGTGGGCCCAAATCCAATCTGACTGGTATCCTTATAAGAAGAGGAAATTTGGACACAAAAAGACGCCAGGGATGTGTGCAAATAGAAGACCATGTGAGGACACAATGAGAAGGTAGCCATCCGCAAGCCAAGGAGAGAGGCCTCAGATCCCTGCCAGCACCTTGATGTTGGACTCTCAGCCTCCCGAACGGTGAGAAATAAATTATTGAAGCCACCCAGTCCGTGACAGTTTGTTATGGCAGCCCTAGAAAACTAATACACCTACCATCTGAAAACCTCTAGAAAATCCCATGCTTTCACCAAATTTTTATTGAGTACCAACAATGCATGAGAGAGAAAAAAGTGTATAAAATGGTTACTGACATTAACTAAAATCTTTGGGGAAATAGAACCTGTAAATAGAATCATGTAAGAATAATACATGAAAAGTGCCTCAAATGTGCAGAACACCAAGGAGTTAAGACAGGAAGGTATTCGTTGGTATTAGGGACTCATGCAAGACTTCCCAGAAGAGGAAGAGACTCGGGCCAGGACCTGAAGGCTCCATAAGATTTTATACTAGATAGTCCTGTGGAGGAAAATATTCCAAACAGATAGAAGACAATGGGATGAAAAGACTGAGGCATTGTGGAGAAATAAATTAGTCTAAATATTAGACTAAATGTAGGAAAATAACAAAACTGATCATTCAGGGCCCACAAAGTGACTCTATTTCATTAATTTTTTTTCTGTGTTGGAATTTTTTTTTTTAAATTTTATTATTGTTTAAAATATTACAGATGTCCCTTTTTCTCCCCAATGACCCATTCCACCCCATTCCTTCCCCCTCCCCAGTCCCTCTCCCCACCATTGTCCATGTCCTTGGGTTGTGTATATATGCACATAAATTCTTTGGTTACTCTCTCCCCCTCCACCCACCCACTATCCTCCATCCCTCCGACATTCGTCAGTCCCATCTATGCTTCCATGTCATTGAATCTATTCTATTCATCAGTTTATTAAAGTTCCTTAGATTCCATGTATAAGCGAGATCATGTGATATTTGTCTTTCACTGCCTGGCTTATTTCACTTAGCATAATATTCTCCAGGTCCATCCATACTGTCCCAAAGGGTACGAGATTCTTCTTCTTTACAGCTGCGTAGCATTCCATATTTCATTAAATTTTATAAGCAAGAAGCAGAATGAAATTTAGCTGTAACTGTTTAAGAAAAATGTCCTTCTGAAAACAAAGTTTTATCTGTAAAATTTTAGCAATTTTTTGTTGTTGCTGTTCTGGGTAGGTATCTTAAGCTCAGATTTACAAATTTCTTATTAGAACAAATGACCTCATCTCCCATCACACTTTACCTCCCAGAGACATTTTTACATCCAATTAGCTTATGTTTAGAAAAGAAAGACATTAAGTCCTAAAAATTAGTATTAATTGAACATAAGAACAGAATCAATAGTTACCCTATTTTTAACTTTCTAAGAAGGTAACAAAGTTTTAAAGTACATAATTCCTGATTATAAGTAATACCCTATTTCCTCAATTCTAAGATGTACTTTTTTCACATTTCAATATTTCTGAAATAAGACACATCTAAAATTTAGTATGTACAATTAATGAATTACTGAGTTTTTCCCTGTGAAAAGCTATGATTACAACAATACTGCATTTTATAATTGATGGATTGTAAATATGGTGATAATAAGAACCACTGTCCATCAAGACCCAATTCTGCAGTAGTCATGGTCCCTCAGGTGTCTGTGTTTCAGGGGAGGTATCAATAGATTTTATCATATCATGGATACCACGAAAGTAAGGCAATGTCCATATCCATGCCTGAATTAGAGAAGGGAACCCTCACAGTGATTCTACAGGTTCATATTTCACGGTACTAATCCTATCACCATAGCAACCCATGTAGAAAAGAGGGCAAAAGAAGAGTTTCCTGATGCCTATTAAGTCCAGGAGCTTAGCTTACCATTTGATGTCCCCTGATGTCCACACTACCACTGCATTGACCAAGGCCCTGCTTGAGTATCCCATATCGGGCAACAAACAGTGTTAACTTAAATACCAGATGGAATTTCAATACCAGATGGAGTGCAATTCTGCCATTACTCACTGGGCCCTAGCGAAGCCCCAGCAAAGAGGCCTCCAGACTCACTCTAAAACAGGTGTCTGGGAATGAGAAAAGTCATTATGCAAATGTAAGCCATTCAAAACTGTTCAGTTTTCAGGAGATAATGTCAGACGTCTAGCAGAGAAATGGGGAGATGAACTTGGAGTTTGTTCTCAGAATTCAAACTACACCATTCGTACAGTGCTGTGATGCTAGACCACCAGATGATCAACATCAGGGCTCCAGAGCAACCTTCACTGCTAACACTTCTCACCAGTACCAGGACTGACTGAGCCAGGTGCACATGAATTTCATCACAAAGACAAACCTGAGGTGTAACTATTATTATCCCCATTATGAGAATGAAGAAATAGGGGCTTCTAAAGAGGGACTAACCTGCCTCTCTCCCTCTCTCCAGAGAAAAGGCTGTCTGAGGACACAGCAAGAAGGCGCCATCAACAAGCCAGAAAAAAGGTCTCACCAAAAAATGTATTTGCCAGTCCCTTGATCTGGGTCTTCAAGCCTCCAAAATGATTCCTGTGGAACTAATGATCCTTGGAGAACCTACATGAAGTGCCTTGCAACAAGCAAGTGCCTGAGATATATTAGAAACTTTGTGCATAATCAAGACAGTATAAAATTAAATCAGGAACAAAGGATAGACTATTTGCTGCAAGCATCCTGCCTGCAGTAGGGAAACACTGATAAGTGATGATAAGACAGAGGTGGTCTCTAAGCCAGGCCCTCCAAACAAATCTCTTTCCTCAATCAGGTTATCTGAATTCTATCTGCAAGGCCCAGCAAGACCTTCATCCCAGGTCACGCACAAACTTCTACAGAGAGATCAGAAATACAGCACCAAGGAACATTTACTGAAAGTCTGTCTCTAATTTCTATCCAAGATCTAGTAACTGTGTCTCCTTTTTATTGCTAAGGATCAGCCCCATTTTCCCCCTAATTTCTTTACGAAGAAATTATGACTGTAAATAGCAAAATCTCTGTAGGTAGATTCTTGTGCTGACGTCTGAAGTCAGCCACTTTTACCAACTTTCCAAAGTATGAGAATATTACTTTATATATTCAATGTCCTCAACTGTGAAAAGTGGATATTAATAATATCCATCTTGAAGGAAAATAAATAAATAAAAAGTGAGTAACCTGGCAAGGACATAATGATGCCAGGAAGTGTTAGTCGAAAGAGGAATACGGAGATTTAATCACCGAACTATTCTACCTTCTACACTACTTTTACACAGAGAAACTTACCGCTTAGGTTAATGGAGCAAGTCCTAATTCTAAATACTTCATTCATTCAACAAGCATTTGGGTGATTCTATACCATCAAAGGACCAATTGCAAAAAGTACTTGAAAAAACATATTTAATACTGTAACCATAATTATAATCTTTATAGCTTTAGGCTGCCTTTGTCAAAATTCTTTCCATCATTTTCAGATTGTCTAAAAATAACTGTACATTGTACTTCTCTTAATAAGTGGGGTTTAAGCCATTGTACAATATTTTAATATTTAATTTAAAACATTTATCTTAATATATCCTTATATAAACAAAACCTCAGATTTTCATTTTCTTCTGACTGCAAAAGAATACTCTACACCCACTTTTCAGATAAAAGAGACTAAAATAATATGATTGGAAGGAATTTAAACAGAGAAAAAAGAGACAGAGCTATAAACCAGCTAGTGGTGGAACAACTCACCAGGTCTCCTGAGACACTGATGAGGGGTCCACAAACCAGCAAATGCCACCTGCCTATTATCTAGCTTAGAAAGGTGCACACCTTTGAAAGTGACAGAATTTAAGTCCAGCATGGCACTTGCAGAAAATGGCATCAAAGGTTGGACTATAAATCTTTCTTATTCTCAAGTCACTGGACATTTAAGAGCAACGATATTGATGGGCTCTCTCTCCTCTTCTTCTGCCTTGTAACAGATGTATGATTCATGGATTGTCCTTTAGTGGTCTCCATTTTCATCTTATTACTTTTTCTTTGCTTCTGCTTTCTGACAGCTCTGAAAAACAAGGTGCTAAATTATTTCATAGAATGAGCACAGTGAATAATGTACTTAGGCTGAAGTTTAATTAACTAGCTAACCAAATAAGAAAACAGAAGGGAAAGAATTTACTGTATTATAAGCATAAATCTTCAGAATCCTAAACCATAATAACAAGGAGATCGTCAGAGGGCTGACCAAACAAAATAGAGAAAAGAAATTTCTTTGAGAGATGGTTACTACAGATTTAGAACAATCTATTCAGGACAAACACACAACAGGTAAATAATCAAGCCAAAGGGTTGGGAGTTTTTTTTAGTTGGGGTTTATTTTTTATTTTTTTTACATCTCTACCGCTCAACTCAGCACTTCAATCTCCAAATCCCTGAATTACATTTTTCAGAAAAAGGACAGATATATTCTGGCAGTTAGCAGGGGTGGGAAAATGAAATAGGACAACAGAAAAAACTGACAACACATAAAGAGGCTCATCTTTTAAATGCTACGGCTAATTTTCCTTGCCTCAGTAGATCTAAAAGTCCTGACAAGTGCCATGCAGGATGTCCACATTTTGCGGTCTCTGTCTTCTTGAAGACTAGCTTCAAAATGAACAAGCTGGAACTCACCCTCTAAAAACACTAAACCACACCAGAAAAAAAACAGATTCTTTGTTTCTGGTACTCTCTGAACTAACTTACAGGCAATCTATAGCTGAGAAAGATTGCCAGTCTGTTCATTCTCTTTCTCCAAGCCAGCAGAATCATGCCATTTATCATATCACGAACCACGGAATGAGCTGGAGCCCCCAGCTCTGGCAAAATGGAACCTTCCCATGGCTACACAGCAATATCACTCATTAGATTCATCCTCCTAAACCACAACAAGCCCCAGGGAAAAGCTTACTCTTGATCTTCCCAGGACCAAAACCTGGGAAAGGAGCTTCATAAACAGTATATAATCCCCCAGTGAACTGAACTCTGGCTTCACTTTTGTTCACTCAGCATATATATGCTAAGTGTTGGGAATACAAAAATGAATGGGCATAATCTTTGACTTCAAGGAGCTGGGAGACTGAGACAAGGTAGATGGCACCTTCCCTTTCCTTCCCAACCTTTTTGGGGAAGAAACTGAGCTATGAAGTCATCCAGTAAGGAAGTGGCGGAACGAGCTTGATTACAGAACCTGTGCTCTTAATTACTTTGATATGGTAATTAGCAGTCCTCTACTATAAATTATTTAGGTGTGTAGAAGGCTAACCATATAGTAATCACTAAATAAATATTAGCTATTATTAGTAGCTCCGTATGACTATTACTCAGAATTTTGCTTGACAACTTCAAGTTTTTCATATTTAGATTTTGCACTATGCACTGGGGTATCCTACCAGTTTATAAAACAAATAATCATATTTTTACTGTTCTGTGCATGTTATATAAATCTCCTTTCCCTCCAGCCATTTAAAAGTAGGATAATGTCCTGATAAGTGATGATTTTGCAAATTTAATGAAGTATAACCTCTTAATGGCAAAGTCAATGAAGCTATGCATGCCTGTATACAAAATTTAAACAAATTTGCTTTGGCTTATCCACTTACAAGAACTAAATACAAACCAGGTTTAACTAAAGGATACAGTAAATAAAAACAAAATATTAACTTGTAATATAAATAAACAAAATTTTCTAGACATAAAGTTTTTCAACAATGATGAAGTGATTAAGTGTAAATCAATTAATTATTTTATTTTGCCTTAAAATGAAATTGACCTAGTATTCGTCCTCTAAATTATCAGGAATTTATATAACTGATAAAATGAGCTTTAACCACAAGAGGGAGCCAGCATCATTCCAGTTCACAACCAAAGGAAAATTAATACTAAGGGAAAGCCAATTAATATGAGAGAGCTATAAAATACATAAGATGAAAAGATATTTTATGCCATATATGCTAAGAAGGCTATTAAAATTATTTTTTATATTAAAAAAAAATGTTTTACATTTTCAGTTTCATTATAAAATTTTTTTAAAAGCAATAACTTAAGATAACTGTTAATAGGACTTTAGCAGTTTTCTCTGAGAGAAGTTAAGTACCACATCCTAAGAGATTTGCTCTTTAAACTAAACTTGATAAAATCTAGTATGAAAACATATGAGATGGTTTCCCTCAATGAAAACAACATATTACTACCAAATAGACTAGCAAGGGCTATTTAAGAACCATTGAAGAGCCTGCAATATAGTACCAAAATGCACATTCAGTTCCCATGTATCATAAGATCACAGAATCAAAGGCTAAGCATGTTACTAACTTCTGTTTGAAACCAGAACTACACTGTAAATAGTGCAAAAATCCCAGACTAATAGTTTATTAGGTTGTGTTCTATTCTGGAAGGTTTCTAAGGAAAAATATTTTGTAAGATTCTTCAATACCCCTCTTTAATTAATTTTAAAAATACCACAGCCCTGGCCAGTGCGGTGCAGTTGGTTAGAGCGTTGTCCCATGAACAAATGAGTCACGGGTTCAACTGCCAGTCAGGGCATATACCCAGGTTTCGGGTTTGATCCCCAGTAAGGGCACATACAGGACGCAACCAATAGATTTTTTTTCCCTCTCTCTCTCTTTCTCTCTCTCTCCCTCTCTCTAAAAATCAATGAAAATCATATCCTTGGGTAAGGATTAAAAAAAAAAAGTACCACTTCTATCCTGGACTTAGTGGAAATAATTATTTATAAGCATTTTTTAAAAATATATCTTTATTGATTTCGAAAGAGGAAAGGAGAGGGAGAGATAGAAACATCAATGATGAGAGAGTCATTGATCGAGCCCGCAACCCGGGCACATGCCCTGACCGGAAATCGAACCGGTATTGCCTGGATCCTAGGTCGATGCTCAACCGCTGAGCCACGCCCAGCCGGGCGGAAATAATTATTTAAAGTAAATTTGATAAAAAGTAATGGAAAAGGCAGTTTAAATAGTAGGCAGAATTCAAATGGCTGGAAAACAATGGAACAAAATAATTTACACTGATGAATGAATAAATAATAAATGAAGGAATTAGTAAGAATTCTAACGTAACCATGAACAGCCCCACAGAATCGGGTTCCTCCATCACTAACAGATTGTTTTCTTCTTTTAATCCTCATCCAAGGACATGTTTTTACTGATTTTTAGAGAGAGAGGACGAGAGAGACAGACAGACAGACACTGATTTGAGACAGAAGCATCAACGGGTTGCCTCCTGCAGGAGCCTTGGCCAGGATGGAACTGCCACCTGGAATGCGCCCGCCCGGGAACCGGGCCTGCACCCCTGGCTACAGGACGAAGCTCCAGCCAGCTGGGCCGCCTGCCCAGGGCAATAGGTATTTTTTTAATCACGAGTGATAATGTAGCTCAAAATTTGATCCTGATCTCGATTTTCGTGTAATGTTAAACTTGGCTATCTGGTTTTCATATCCAAAAAACAAGAGGACTCATTACCCATCGCCCCTGTTTTAAAAAAAGGATAATCGTTCAAGTTAGCCCAGTTGAAATAGCAATGGATTTTCTAAATATGCTCTCATTGGTATAACTCTGTTCTGAGTTAGAAGCAATACCAAATGTTGGTGAGAGAAGGGAAATGCCAGAAAAAAGGTAAAAATTAAAACTTTAAATATTTAAATATTAAATGTCTAAATATTTTCTTGAAGTCTGATATAACTTAAAGAAATAACTTCATTTTCCAATGTGTCCACTGTAGAATTACACATTTCACTCACTATATCTGAGATGCCTTCTCCAGCCTTACCCACTATCATGAGTCTACATCCAATCTGTCCTGACTTAAACATCCTGTCCTTCAATAAAGCCTGAACTCTCACCCCACAAATTATAATTTCACACTAACCACAGGAGATATAAAGTTAGTCACTTCCACTTTATATTTTGGTTATTTTCATGTCTTTCCTATAAAATTCTAAGCTCTTGGACTCATCTTCATATCCTCCCTCCCCCCATCCATGCAAACAATGCAACAATTAATTTAGCATTTCCAAATCCTCTAACTATTGACACTTTTGTGGATTATTCTGTACAAATCACACATGGAAACTTTTTTTCAAGTAAGTAAAAGAATTCAACTAACTTGTTAACTTTTTTCGCAGTAGAGATGTTAGGGCAAGCACTGCGTTTATGATCTAATTCACCACAAATGAAGCAGCCTTCTTTAGGGCCCTCGCAAGAATGATCTGGAAGAGCACAGTGATTGCAAATGCTACAGTGGATCCAGGCTGTAAAATAAAAATTGAGTTTTAGAAGAGGTTCATTTAATATAGTTTTTCATTTGATTAACCTTTATGATAGGGAAGCATGAAAAGTGTTTACTTCAATTACTGTGATGGGTTTGTATAGCTGGTTATAATCTGACTAAAGAGCCCAAAGTTAAGACGCTGGAATCCCTGTGAACCAGCTAACTTCCTTCTGGGACACAGCAGCAAATTTGGCCCTTCTCTAGTGAGTTGTGATTGTAGAGCCACTGACACACTGGGGCTCGCTGAGTGACACGAAACCCTATTAAAATAAGCCAAACCCTACGCCACACTAACCATGCCAGGTTAGCAGTCATGTCTCTCTATGAAGTAGAGAACACACATTTTGGTAATTATAAAAATTAAAAAGCAAGTAAATTAATACAGGTCTCTATGTTAATTTTTTTCATAAATCCAGTTAAATACAAATCCTATATAGATAAAGAAAAACTGAAATGTTTTCACAAAATCTCAAACACTAAGTCTAAATACTTACAAGGCTTCACACACTTTTTGCAGAGAAAGCAATGGTTCCATTTCCTGCCATCCTACAAAAGCAAATATTAAATTACATTTAATTTGTCATTAAAAATCAAGTTCCACAATTAAAAATTAAAATGTCTTATTAAAATCTGTGTAAATTATTAATTCCTATTTCTCACTTTCCTGGGCTTCAAAATTACATACTTTGATTTTAATTTATGAATTTCTCCACTCAACTCAATGCCTCATTGGTGGGCCCCAATTTCCTTAACTCTAAAACTGGGGGGGGGTTACCTAAATGATCTTGAACATCCACTCCAGATCAAGCAACTCAATCTGCATGAGGAAGGACTCAATGAAAATTTCAAGAGAATTAATGATTCATAATTTTTAATAAAATTCATATTTGAAAACTATGTAATTTAGAAAGATAGAAATGATAGTTACTACTTGGGAACTTTCAAAACTGTGAAGTAAAACATACCTAGAAAAGTACATAAGACGCATATGTCCAGTTTGATGAAAATGCAAAGTAAAAAGTGATGAACCCAACAGGTCAGGAAAGAGACTAGCATCAGCCCTGGACACTGCCTCACATGCCCCTCCCGACCCCAGCTTCCTGCCCCCATGGAGTGGCGCCTACTCTGGTTTCCATGATGGTCATGTCCTTGCTTTTGTTTACTCTTACCACATGTGTGCACCTCTAAATAACAAAGCTTGACTTTCCACATTTTGAACTTTTATGTTCTGGGCATCATTTATTTAAATATATCTTTGTTGATTTCAGAGAGAGGAAAGGAGAGGGAGAGAGAGAGATAGAAACATCAATGATGAGAGAGTCATTAATCGAGCCTGAAACCTGGGCATGTGCCCTGACCAGGAATCGAACCCCGATCGCCTGGATCCTAGGTCGATGCTCAACCGCTGAGCCACGCCGGGCCGGGCTGGGCATCATTTATTAAAGTGAAGAATACAAATAATTTCTAAATGAACTGAAAATATATGTAATCAGATATGTTAACATAATTAAAAGCTAATATCACCAGTAATAAAATTATAAAGTTATGAAAAATGTACTTTCTAATAGTTATGAAAATACACCCTTTCCTTTGAAGAATAATATGTGCTTATCGGCCAAACTAAACTTCACATCTTCTTTCTGAGTGGATTTATTTAAAATAACAGAGCAGCCGGGCCAAGTGTGGCTCAGTGGTTAAGCGTCGACCTAGGATCCAGGCGATCGGGGTTCGATTCCCAGTCAGGGCACATGCCCGGGTTGTGGGCTTGATCAATGACTCTCTCATCATTGATGTTTCTCTCTCTCTCTCCCTCTCCTTTCCTCTCTCTGAAGTCAATAAAGATATATTTTTTAAAAATAAATAAATAAAAAATAAATAAAATAAAATAAAATAAATAAAATAAAATAAATAATAAAATAAAATAAAATAAAATTAAAATAAAATAAAATAAAATAAAATACAGAGCAGCCAGCCGGGCGTGGATCAGCAGTTGAGCGTCGACCTAAGATCCAGGCGATCAGGGTTGGATTCCTGGTCAGGGCACATGCCCGGGTTGCGGGCTAGGCAGCCGATCAATGACTCTCTCATCATAGATGTTTCTATCTCTCTCTCTCCCTCTCTCTGAAATCAATAAAGATGTATTTTTAAAAAAATAAAAAATAAAAATAAAATAAAATAACAGAGCAACTTAAGGGTGATCCCACCTTCCTAAAAAATAAAGGAGGTCTGTCCCATGGAGTCCTTCCTCATCTGTAAAAAGCCAGGAGTATCTGTACCTATCTACAAGGGCTACTGTGAGCAGTAAATGACTTAGTCCATGGACAGCACTTAGGAAAGGGCCTGGCACGTAAGTGCACAGGACATGTCATTAATTATGATTTCACCAGAACAGTGATGGTCTCTAATATTTCAATGCCTTATTTGAAACATTGTAATTCTGTGCCCAACAAAATTCAGTGCCTTATTTAAAACACTAATAATTTTAACAGTCATACAGTACGATATAAAAATGACTTCAAATAATTATTAATGATGATGAAGCCAACTGTGTTCCGTGCCGTTGAGTTGGCTCCACTCCTGGCGACCCCATGAATGAGTGATGTCCACAATGTCCTGTCCTCAATAGCCCTGCTCAGCTCCTGTAGACTCATGCCTATGGCTTACTTTATGGAGTCAATTCATCCCATATTTGACCTTCCTCTTTTTCTGCTCCCTTATTTTCCCAGCATTATTGTCTTTCCACAGAACCCTGCCTTCTCAGTAGGACAGCTTCAATTTTTTAATTTGTGCCTCCAGCAATGTTTCAGGCTTAATTTGCTCTAGGACCCTCTTATTTGCCTAAGTATTTTTAAAAAGCCTGTTGTACTTTATAATTAGAAATAAAACACTGTATTAAAGTATAATTAATAAATGATAACATATTAATACAAATTCTATTAACAAAATAATATTAAACAAATGTAATGAAAGTGAGTAAACTAAAATAAAACTAATATATTTGAATAAAAACATACTCTAAAGAAACCTATACCTTGGACGTGCACAAATTACAGTGCTCACAGTGCTGATTCTCTGGAGAAACATATCGTTGACACAGAGGGCAAAACCTAAGAAGGAAAGAAAGACTTATAGAGATTCACAGGGTAGATAAAAGTTTGCAAGGCACTCATTACAAAAACTGGGTGTAATCCAAATTTAATTCAATAAAAAATTATGGGCCACAGTTAAAAGTAATGGAACTGCATGAGTCAATATTAAAAGCATTTTAACATTAGATATATGGAACTATATTTTCAGTGATGTGAATTTTAAGGTCCCACTGTGATCGTACCTGTACCCTTCTTCAACAGGAAGGATTATTTTGTTGGGTGGAATATTGGTGAAAACACGCACAGGAGACTGTTTCCGACCTGTCTTTCCATGTTTATAAAGTGCATGATTATCGTAATCTACCTAGAAAGTTTAAAGAAAATGAAAAAGAAAATGTACTCAACTGAGTCAATACTCTGTAAGATTCTTCAACCAGCAAATGAACAAGCTGATGCCAAGATACAAGTTAAGCTGAAGTATTTAATAAGAAATTCTTACAAGCAAGTTTACTTACTAATTAGCAGCCTCAGAAAGGCCTCTACGGCAGTGAAATTTCATTATAAAAACGGTAAAATTTGTTATGACAAATTCACATTGAGAATAACTCTGACCTTTTATCCAATACAACAGACTTTACAAGAAAGGCTATTATGTAATTAAGAATTTAGATTTTGTAAGAAGTACAAATTGGTAGTCACAAAATAGTCATGGGGATGTAAAGTACAGCATAGGGAATATAGACCATAATATTCTGATAACCATGTATAGTGCCAGATGGGCACTGGAAATATCGGGGTGGGGGGACACTATGTAAAGTATATGATTGTCTAACCACCATGCTGTACACCTAAAACCAATATAAAATAATAATAAAGACTGTAAACTGTAATGGAAAAACAAACAAAAAAAATTTTTTTGAAAAAGAATTTAGCTTTTGGCATTAAAAAAATTCCACCTTTGAAGGTATGTGCCAGCTTGATTGGGGGTTTTCATTTTTTGTGTGTGAAATTCATTACATGTCCATTTTCAGCTCAGCATTCTCAGTACGGCATCCACCAATCTCTATCTGACAGATCACGGATTTGGAGGCCAGACAGTGGCTCTGCTGCTCACTTGTTATGTGTAATTTTCACCTTAGCGATGCTGTGCAGGTTAAATGAGGTAATGTATGTAAAACACTGAGTTCAGGGAGTGGCATATGGTGGAGAGACAGAAAGATGGCAATGAAGAGAGAGATTCTAAACTACAGTTCTCCCCACAATCACTATTTCAAACATCTACCTCTCTTCTCAAGACCCCTAACTCGACTTTCAGTTCCAGCAGATTATCTTGAAAGTCAACTGAAACCAACAAGCATGATTTCTATTATCTATTAGCTTCTTGCTCCCATCCTCCCCCAACCTATTATCCACATACATTTTTAATTTGGTTTAAACCTGCTATGGATCTACCTGGTCACTTAGTCCATCTTTCTTTAGATCAGAAATTCTCAGTGTGGTGTCTGGATCAGCATCATCACCTGGGATCTTGTTAGGAATGCAAATTCTCACCCAATTCGGAGCTCATGAAACAGAAACTCTGGGGGTGGGGCCCAGCAATCTATTTTTAACAAGTCCCTGCACACTACAGTTTGAGAACTACTACTTTAGATTATCCACAAGAAGACCATGAGATTTTTATGAGGTCAATGCTGGTAGGTCACAACTTTTAAATAAGCTGTAATGAATTGTTTAGATTCTACACAAGAATACACTTAAGAATTTACAACAGAACTGGCTTGGAAACTAGCTATTTAACAAGCAAATCACAACAATGTAAGGAATTAATGACAATGGAAAGAGAGACCTTTAAAGGGAGAGCCCTAAGCTCTTTCTGTGGCCCTGCCATCGCCTACTAGGTTTACAGGGGAACAGATTTAGGAAGACTAAAATAAGCCCAGGATGAGAAGGCCCAGCTGTGTTGTATACTGTATTGTACACTGTGTTGTATACAGCGCAGTATACAACAAAGCCCTGGGGGGCTCTGTAGGCTGTCAGTATGGTGGGCCCACAGTCTAGCATAACTGTAAAAGCTGGCACAGGCTCCCCGCTGGAAAGGAAAGCAAGGAAAGGAGTTAGATCACAGCTGAAGCCCCACATTCAATCACTACATTTTAAAAGAGACATTAATAAAACCAGCTCATTTCCATTGAAAGTAATGGAAATGAACAGGATTTAGAGTTTAACATACTGGGGGTGTTTATTCAGAAAAGAGAAGACTGGGAGGATCTGATAGCTACTTTATAACTGAAGGGGTGTCATGTGGAATAGAAATTAGCCTTATCCCTTATTGCTCTGGGGAGCAGAAGTAGGACCAATGATTAGAAGTTAATGGAGAGCATATTTTATCTCAATATGAGAAAATTTTCTAACAATTAGAGCTATTAAATAAATTGAGGTGCCTTGTAAGGCTGTAGGACTTTGCTCACTGAAAGCATTCAAGTGAGGACAGATGACTACATGTCATGAATTCAGTGGAGAGGATTATTACGCTGGGAAGTTAGCCTACGTTACCTCCATGTTTCTTTACAACTTTAAAACTCTATTAATATATGTTACCTATTAGAGGCTAAGATACAAAAGTAGATTTTACTTTCAAATCATCCTAAAATAGTACCTTCAGTAGTTTTCTTTTAAAATGATTTAAATTCATAATTTTCCCCATTGTACTCCTCTTCGTACTCAATAAATATATGGCACCTTTTTAAATTCAACAAAGGTATTGTGAACATTTATGAGCATCATAAGAAAAAAAATTTTTCCCAAGAGAATCTTATAAAGATTTTCAAATGTTGAAAAAGAGTATCTAGAACAATTTCTAGCAAATGGAATATTCCATGCAATATAATAGATAGCAGATGGGAGAGAAGGAAAAAAAAGAACAATTTCTTTATGGTTACCCAAGGAGTCAGAGAATGTATGTGTCAGGAAGGTGGTTGATTGCTTGATTTTGCATAACCTAATTGAGATTATTATTATTTTTAAATGCGGGTTTGTTGTGCTAATTAACTATAAACATATGGTATGTAAAATGCATGCTGCTAGGGTAAATTAATGTACCTCTAACATACATCCATATTTCATAGCTTCATCCACACAAATAAACCTCCTATGGAAGCACTGAAAAGCAAACACAATTTTGCAAATTGCATATCACTAGTAGTAGAGCTGATACACCATTTTCCCATCATTATCCCTGACATTTCACTCACAATGATGATGAGAGGCATTTTCAAACAGAAAATTTCTCCCATGGAACTGATTAATGTGATGAAGTACTGTATAGAAATGAGGGGAAGCACAAAATCTCTGCACTTCCTAACTTTTAATTTCATCTCTACGCAAATTTCTTCTGTAACATGAGACTGAAACTAGTTATACAGGAACCAAGACATTCAAGTTCGCAAACATTTATTTCGCACCTACTATGCTCCAGGTGTCATGCTGGGAAACAAAGATTAAATAAAACAGAGTACTTGTATTTTCATAACTCCCTAAGGACTGGGTTCTATTTAATTTCAGTATATTGAAAAGATCGCACGTGAACTAACTCTTCAGCTCCATCAACCAACTTCTATCAGGCTGCAGCAAGGTCTTTTACTCACGTTCTCCACATCCCATGTAACCTCATTTAAAATTACTACACACAGCATGGGGTAAAAGTAGGTTTACAGTTGTTCATATGGAAAATAATACAATAATTAAGAAATAAGAATAAGAATAAACTGTTTCATGTACTCACAACTGTAAATCTACTTTTGCCACTCCAAACCCGTTACGTTTTACTGCATATAGCGTCTTAAGAATTTCAGTTGCTATCTTTTAATTTACAATTGTACCTCAGAGATTCTTCATATACCTCAAAATATCTTCATTTCTAAACATGTTACTAGACTCACACACAGTTTTCTATATGGGATGATTTTTTTTTAAAAGATAGCCTTAAAAAAAAAAAGCAAAGAGCTCTACTTTTAACAATCCAGGCAAATGTCCCAGATTAAGCAGAAATAAGAGAACATATAGCATGTTCCAGGTAGAAGGTAAGTGAGATAATCTCGTTCAGATATGTTAAATGCAAGACCTGAATGTCATCAGTACCAGTGCCTGACCCTGACCCTGGAACAGACATCACTCATCAGCCACACTACTCTCTACCACTGAGCCTGGTATTCTCAACAAATTCTCCAATTAATTTAGCAGGCTTAGAGCTAAACGTGAAATTTATCTGCCATCCCTTTTCTGGGTCAATCATTTTATTTTATTTATTTTTAAAATATATTTTTATTGATTTCAGAGAAAGGAAGGGAGGAGAGATAGACACATCAATGATGAGAGCCATTGATCAGCCACCTCCTGCACACCCCCTGCTGGGGACTGAGCGCGCAACTAGAACTTCGATCTCCTGGATCATAGGTTGACCCTCAACCACTGAGCCACGCCAACCAGGCTCATCTTATTTTATTTTATAGGTAAGGAAACAGATCTAGAGAGATAAAGTGACTTCTCCCAACATTAAATAGTCTCTAAAAAGTACTAGGACTCAAACTTCTGACTCTAAATCAGGATTTCTTTTCATTATCACACTCTTCCTTTCTAATCTACCTTTAATAAAACCTTAGTTTCCCAGGTCTTTGATAACTATTTTACCCTGCACTCATCAAGTGCTTTATCATGGAAGAGTCTACATAATTTATATTTTATGAAGATGTGCAGCATCTCTGCCTTCCTCTCACCTGAAAAATATCTCAAAAAAAGATTTAGTGATATTTGGTTTTTTGCTGCACTGTGGTTTGGGGGCCTATAATCATCTCAGGCAATGTCAGAAAGGCCTAATCAAGACCTACGGGAAAAGATCTGTGAAGGAGGAGAGGAGACTCTCAAATTTTATTTGATAAAGGTGGCTGACACAAAAGAAAAATTACCAGGAAATGAGGCTAAAGTAGCGAAAGGAAGAAAAGAAAGCAGAGGGCCCAGAAGGGGGAGGAGGAGGAGGAGGAGCAGGAGGAAGAGGAATAGGAGGAGGAGGAGGGTGAGGAGGAGGAGGAGGATGATGAGGGTGAGGAGGAGGAGGAGCAGGAGGAAGAGGAATAGGAGGAGGAGGAGGAGGAGGATGAGGAGGGTGAAGAGGAGGAGGAGGAGGGGGAGGAAGAGGAGGACAAGGAGGAAGAGGAGGACAAGGAGGAGGAGGAGGACGAGGAGGAGGACCAGGAAGAGGAGGAGGACGAGGAGGAGGAGCAGGAGCAGGAGGAAGAGGAATAGGAGGAGGAGTATGAGGAGGGTGAGGAGGAGGAGGAGGATGATGATGAGAAGGAGGGTGAGGAGGAG